TACCCATTCCTACTCAACGTTGGACTTCTGTCTCCATGGACTTCATCGGTCCTCTTCGTCCCCTTACCCCACGAGGCCACGACGCCATCTTCGTCGTTGTCTGTCGGTTGACTAAGCATGCTCACTTCCTCCCTTCAGCCACAGACACCGCCTCCTTATACTTCAACCGTATTGCCATTCATCACGGTCTTCCCACTAGCATCGTCTTTGATCGAGATCCCCGCTTTACTTCTCACTTCGAGCGTGGACTCCATGAGATGTATGGGTCCGAGCTTCGCCTCTCCTCCTCCTATCACCCTCAGTGAGATGGACCGACCGAGGTCACCAACAAAAGTCTTGGGAGTATACTCGAAAAGTTTGTTGAGAATGACTCTGATTGGAATCTGCATCTTGCTCACACAGAGATCGCTTACAACCACTCTATTTCTCTTGCCACTAGCATGTCCCCCTACTACTGTGACTTGGGATATCACCCTCGTGTCCCATCTACTATTCTCTGTCCATCTCAGATCCATCCCGACACCAAATGCCTTGCCCTCGATGACTGGGTAAAGGAGATGGATGTGCTTCTTCTGCTCGAGAGAGCATTGCTAACTCCCAGGCTCGCATGACCACTCGCGCTAACCATTCTCGCATTGACCACCCCTTCAAAGTTGGCGACGAGGTTCTTGGCGATGCACATCACTTCCAGCCCGAAGCCGACACGCTTCGGAAATTCAGACGTCGATATAGCAGACCATGCACTATTCTTTTACCTTCCGGATCTAATCACGACTGTCCGGTGAGCTTTAAATTAAAGTTCCCCGATTCCATGTATCGTGCTAACCTATGTGTTCCATGTGTCTCTTTTGCACTCCTTCAGACGGTCTTCTCCCGAAATTCACGGTCGACCTTACCCTCGCCCTTCCCCCATCATCATTGAAGGTCACGAGGAGTTTGTTGTTTTTGATATCGTGTCCCGGCGTATGACTGATGGTGACCCTCCCCACCTCAAGTATCTCGTTCGATGGAAGGGTTACCCTAACGAGGAGTCTACTTGGGATCCTCTCGAGCACCTGAAGCATGCTATGACTTTCGTGCGTGCTTACGATCTTGCTCACCCATTCCCTTTATTATCCTCCCCTCCTACTTCTCGTCCTTCCACTGACCCATCTACTTCAGTGACCACTAACATTCCCCCTCCTCCATCGATGGGTCCTCCCGCCCCACCAGTTCCTGCCTCAGGGCCTCCTTCCCCCGTGGATGTGGTTCCGCCTGTTCTTGTAGTTGATTCCTCTCGCCCTCAGCGTACCCATCGACTTTCTTCTCGCTATCGTGACTGATCTACACAACTCCCGGTTTCAACTTCTACATTTGGCTTCTTCATTCGGCTTCTACATTCGACGTTCGACCTCAGTGCTTCTCTTCAGTACATAGTACATGTTGCATTGTTCCGAACTTCTACTTGGTTCCTGCACTGCTCCTACTTCATCCTGGCTACTTCGACTCGACTTCAGTTTGGAGACTCATCAGTTGGACTACTTTCACTTTTTCGGCTACGGAGTTTCTACTTCACTTTTTCGGCTATGGAGTTTCCCATCATCCCCATTTATCCATTACCCTCGAGTTTACCCTCCAGTCGCCTGATGACCCCTATTTTCCCTGTCTATGTGGGTGTGTTCGTCTGCCGCCCTTCTGCCTCAAACCCTACATTGCGCGGCCTCCTCCGGGGTGTATGTTTTCTTTGCTCGGGACTTTTGGCCACATGTCTATGTTGGCATAACCCTCTTTCCTTCCAGGCTCACCCTATGTGTGCTCCCTTATGTGAGCGCCCTTCCCCTTTCAGCTGGCGGTACCTGTTTGATGGTTTCCATCGATCCCGATGTCGTGCTGTTACTCTCCCTCTGAGCCTGATGACCCTTACCTGGTTGTGTGGGTGCCCCCTTGGTGTTACTCTAAGAGTTGTACCTGTCTCCTTCCCACCCATTCCTACCTCTGCCATGCGACTGAGTTCTCTTCTCATTTGTTCAAGTATTGTGCATCGTGTACAAGGTACGTGAGACTGTCCTGCATTCTTTTTCGTTAGGACGGTGTCATGTTGTTACTCTCCCTCTGAGCCTGATGACCCTTACCTGGCTGTGTGGGTGCCCACTTGGAGTTTACTCTAAGAGTTGTACCTGCCGCCTTCCCACCCATTCCTACCTCTGCCATGCGATTGAGTTGCCTTCTCTTTTGTTCAGGTATTGTGCATCGTGTACAGGGTACATGAGACTGTCTCGCATTCTTTTTCGTTAGGACATTGGCTTAGCTATTCTTTGGTTTTTAGGGCTGCAATGTTGATTTATATTCAGCCACTTTGGCATCGGAGACATTTTCTCTTTCTTGGCCGACACAGGTCAGACATTTTTCTGTTTCTTGGCCGACACAGGTCAGACATTTTCCTGCTTTTTAGGTCGACACAGGTCAGACATTGTTGCATAGATTAGGCTCGAGGCTTAGTCTGCATTGCATCTCTTCTCCTGCATGGAGCTTGCTCCGCATCTAGGATTGTTTCCTTTGCTGTTCCTCTTGGGTTTCCGCTATAATTTCAGCGGATAGCGTGTTCGATGCATCACTTGATCCATTCACAGGTCCGAGGATCATGTAGCGGTACCCCTACGGCCCGGCAATGAGGCCGGACCAGTTTCAGGCCGTCGGCCTGACCCTGGTCCAATACCAGGTTGGTCCCGTACCTGGACCTAGGCCAGTATATCACTTCGGCCTAGGCCCAGGTCGGGAGATTGGTTCATCCATTCTTCATTCGTTCATTCATTGATCGGGACTGGACCTTCACTCAACTGCTGCTTCTTGTGTGTCCATCTCCTCTCTCTCTCTCTCTCTCTCACCATCTCCGCACGTGCCATCTGCACGTGCGTCACAGGGGGGGGGAACGGGAGTGGGGTCGAGTAAAACGACTGTTCACGGCACCACCACCGCCTGGCACCGCGGTGCCAAGGATGCGGACGCGTCTAAACGCTTCCCGCCAAAAAAAGAAAAAGGTTCACACTTCTTTTTCTTTTTTTTTGGAGTTCAAAAAAAAAAAAAAAAAGGAAGAACACGGGGGGTTGCCCAACCCGCTGCACACTCCCTCGCGCCCAAAACCCCCAACCACCCCCAAAGGCCGGCATTACAGCGTTCTGCGGGTCGCATTGATCCGCGTAAAACTGGCAGTTCAACGCCGGTTTAACGTGGATTCAACGAGCGTTAAACCACCACTAACCCCGCCTCCCGAAATTCACCCTTCCTGGCCTTACGGGCTGCATCTCCCGGTAGGTAAGCGCCCAGCAGGCCGTAGTGGGCAGAAACCGTTTTTTTTTTTTTTTTGGGACTTCCCGTGGTAGGCGGGGGAAGATGACTGCCCGTGCCACAAATGAAAACGGCCGTTTTTCTTTGCGTCTGCGGGCGGGAAACTGCTGCAAAGAAAGAAAGAACCGACAAAAAAAAAAAAAAAAAAAACGGATACAAGAATCCACTTCATAAAAAAAACACTTAAAAAAAAACACTTAAAAAAAAACAAAAAACAGAAATCACTTCGGTCGGGGCCAAGTCCCACAGTGACTACCAGCGTTGAACTACCTCAACGCCTGAATCTGGACGTGTTTGTGGAGCTGTGCAGTTCAGGAAACTCAACACCATTCCTGCACATCTCCACAAAAGCGTCCAGGTTCAGGCGTTGAGGTAGCTCAACGCTGCTAGTGGGACTTGGCCCCGGCCGAAGTGATTTCTGTTGTTTGTTTTTTTTCAGTGTTTTTTTTTTTTCCGACATGCGCATATTGAGAGTGAATCTTCCGCTACAACATGGAAATGTACACTGCCATAATTTTCTGTGCCGCGACGGCGGCCTCTCTCTCTCTCTCTCTCTCTCTCTCTCTCTCTCTGTGCGCGGCGACGTCCGCTTCCCCTCTCTCTCTGCGCCGGGATGTCCGCTTCCTCTCTCTCTCTCTGCGCCGCGACGTCCTCTCTCTCTCTCTCTCTCTCTCTCTCTGGGCCTCGCTGCACTACTCTCGAAATGTGCAAAACGAGAGTGAATCTTCCGCTAGAATATGGAAAGATGCACCGCCACGATTTTTGTCTTTTGTGCATGTCGAGAGTAGTGCAGCGAAGCCCTCTCTCTCTCTCTCTCTCTCTGCGCCGCGACGTCCGCTTCCTCTCTCTCTCTCTCTCTCTCTCTCTCTCTCTCTCTCTCTCTCTCTCTCTCTCTCTCTCACACACACACACACACACACATGGGCCTCGCTCCACTACCCTCGAAATGTGCAAATAGAGAGTGAATCTTTCGCTAGAACATGGAAAGATACACCGCCATGAGTTGTCTCCTATGCTTGTCGAGAGTAGTGGAGCGAGGCTCAATATGGCGGTGTATCTTCCCATGTTCTTGCGGAAGATTCATTGCAGAGCGAGCACTACGGCAGTAGTAGAAGTAGGCCAGATAAAACATGAACTAATGAAAAAAAAAAAAAAAAAAAAAGAACCA